ATACATTTTAATTCACCTCCACAAAGATGAGAAACACAAACCTTAGCAAACAAGGCTGCTGTATGGAAAAACAAGTTGAGCATGGTATTACCACCTCTACCACTACACGACTAATACATTGTTATAAATATGTGTATATATATATATATATATATATATATATATATATATACATATATATATATATATACATATATATATATATACATATATATATATATATATATATATATATATATATATATATATATATATATATATATATATATATATATATATATATATATATATATATATATATATATATATTAAAAAGTTATAAAACATGTATGTATATATGTATATCTATATGTGCATATATATATATATATGTATATATATATATATATATATATATATATATATATATATACATATATATACATATATATCAGGGGCTATTCTAGACCCTTTTTGACAGTGTTAAACGTATTTGGGCGACATTTGAGCACTGCCCAAATTCGGAAATTAAAGACCTTTTTTTTTATTATGCAGCTAAAAGTTTTTTCCTTTCAACCTTTGCTAATCTCTTCACTTTTGGCTAAACAGATATATTCAGGGATTATCTTTTTCTAAATATATCCAGAATTCCGGATCTTTTTTTTAACTTTTAGTTTTTCTAGATTTCTAGAGAATCTTCTATTAATACAAGTTTAAATAAATATATTTGCAATATATATGTTTTTTAACTTTTTAAATTACCCATAAAAAAACAAATTCAAAGAAATTGGGAAATTCATTAATTTAAAGTTAAATTGAGACAAATATGAGGGAAATAAACTCCGGATTTTACTGAATTTTTTTTTTGTTAATTGTTTAGATTTCTTAAATATGATCTAGATGATCTCTGTATATTGTTTATCAGTTCTTTTTTTGTTCTTTACCATGATCTTGCTACATTAATATTTTGTATGCGGTTTTGTATATATTTTCACTTTTAAAAAAACTTTATAAGTACTTTTATAAATATTTGCAGGCTGGGTTATTGATTAAATAATATTTTATTTAATAATATTATAATCTAACATTTAAGTAAAACTTGTAGTATTCAAGTTTACAATCTTTTTTGTCCCTTGTAATATTTTTTTTTTCAAAAGTTTTAACAAACAAAATTATTACAATAGTGATGTATATTGAGTATTGGAGTACTTTTTGGATAACTCATTAACTATGATGCTTTAAACTCTGCTTTTTCTGCTCTAATCTTAGATCTGCATATAATCATTTAGTAAATTTATTAGTGCATTCATTACTGTATTTAGTAACCTTGATTTAGTAAACTCATTAGTGGGTGTCTAAATTCATTAGTGAGTGTCTTAATCAGCATTAAATACTAAAATTTAGTAAGTTAAAATTTCAGTTTCTTATTTGGTCAATTAAAATTTAAGAAATTAAAATTTCAGTTTGTTATTTGGTCAGTTAAAGTGTAACTTACACTTTAACTGACCAAATAACCAGTAAACCATAACCAGTTAACCAGTATTTTTTATTTATTCAATGAATGAATTTTTAGTAACTGTTGATTTTAAAGCACATTCTCAAAAATAAAGTTATTTATTTATGATCAGTATTATTAGTTTTATTTACTTGAATTGTTGGGCCAAAAGTAAAAACCAAATCTTCCAATTTAAAACTTGCACAAACTACAACAGTAAACAGTTAAAAAAACAGCAAGTTTTTATAATACCCATACATACTACCTAAATGTGTTCAGTATATTAAAATAAGGCAGTATTTAAAAGAATAAAAAATAAAAACTTTCAAAAAAATTTTTTTTAATAATATTAAGGACTCATTGTTTATTATTAGGGACAATTTTAGGGACACAATGTTTAAATGGCACAAAACCTTTACATTTTATTAGGCCTCTTTTAGAAAATCACTCATACCTTTTTTTAACTTATAGAATACTTTTCAAACTCCATTACATTTGTCAGCAATCTACAACCAAAGTGAAATAGTACAGTTGTTAATTAGTAAAGGTGTACCATTATTTGATGAAGATAAAAATGGAATGACTGCACTTCATTTAGCAGCTCAGTATGGCTCTCGAAAAGTGATTGAAGTTCTTAGGGGAAAAATACCCTTTGATGTCGTAAGCCAAAAGGTATGAATGTTATTGCAATAAAACTTATAGTGTAATTTATATAAATTTAATTATAAATATTTTAATGAAAATTTAATTTTGAACATTTTATTTTATAAAACATTTATTTATATGCATTGCCTGCATAAAGACTGGTTTTACTCCATTGCATATAGCAGCAGAGTATGGTCAAAGCGCAAGTTTGGGTGAATTTTTGATAAAAATTTCTGGAGATATTCTTAGTCAAGTATTTTATGAAAATTTAAATTAATCTTCTACTAATATTATATATATATATATATATATATATATATATATATATATATATATATATATATACACATATATATATATATATATATATATATATATATATATATATATATATATATATATATATATATATATATATATATATGTATATATATATATATATATGTATGTTTGTATGTATGTATATATATATGTATGTATGTATGTATCTAGTTACATAGGTATGAATGTATATAATTTTTATTATTTAGTGCCCATTTGGACTAAAGCCTTCTGAAACTGAGGTAAATTTTCATTAGATTTTTTTGTAAAATTTGAGAAAAAAAGTAAAAAATTACATTACAGAACAGAAATAAGAAGATAAGCTCTTATATGTAAAGCTATTAATTTATCAGGTTGGTTGTTAAATTACTAGTTGAAAAAACTGAAGTCATTTTTTATTTATTTTTAGAAATGCACAATTTAATAATGTTTTATCTGTCATTTTGCCAGCTCTTTTTCTATTAATTATACCGCATACACTAAAAAACCTTCAACATATGCGGAGGATGTTGGTATATTGTAAAACATAAGACACAAATTAGAAAGATGCAACAATTTTTTTCTTTTATCAAACCAAAATGTGTTGTACTGAGTTTAGTTGGTGAAAGTATAGTTTCCTAAAATATTTATAAAGTTATCTTTTTCTTTGTCAGCTAAGTGCTCAATGCTGAGTTTTGTTTTGTTGTATTCTACCTGATCCAATTCTATGCTTTGATAAAACTAATCAAAGGCTTCATCGTTAGGCACACTAACACTTTAGAGTAAAACTATTTTTAGCAATTACAGTCAGATAATTTTTTTCATTTTTGTTATTAAATTCAATTGCCAAGTTTACTAATGAGCTTAGGCCTAAATTCACTGTGGCTTTAGCTATCAGTCTTTAATACTAGAGGTAAAGTTTAGAAATATTTAAAACTGCAGCAGCTGCATAAACAGCAGAGTTAAGATCAAGAACTGTTTTTTAACATTTTTTATCAATAATTCACAAAAAAATTTCCTTTTTTCATCTTTTTTAGCCATTTCCTTATATTGCATTTCTAAAAAATGTAAACTTGGTACCAAATCATCAATATGTACACCGTAAATATATATGCTGGGAGCATCACTGATAAATAAAATTCAATCTCTGCTTGAGTAACTGGACATCTTACTGTTTTAAAACAATTTTTTTGATATGCTTTGTAAGAACAAATGAACATTAAAAAGCTTGATGACCAACAAGTTAAATTTGCTTCTTAATCTTTTTTGTTATTTTTGAAATATTTGAGCAATTTTAATTTTCTAATGAGTCCGTTTTCAATTGTCTGCATGACCTCATAGTATTATGTATCGAAATATTAAATTTGTGGTTTGGGCAAATCAAAGGACTTAACTGCTGCCGAGTTCAAACTCTAATTGATCTTTAATACTATGATCCCAAAATTCAAAATTATCAGCATCATCAACTCTGGTAGCATCAACCTCAGTATCAATCTCATTAGATAGCTAGCTTAATTTAATATCATTTTGAATTAGAATTATTTCTTTGGTAAGCAATTCGTTTATTTCAGGATCAATTTTATTTTCAGTTGAATCTGAAAATAAAATTGATCCCGAATTAGGAGATAATAGAATGAGTTGTCTAGTCATAGAAACAGAGACCCAAGCAAAACCCATGCATTGAGTCAAAAGATCCAGCATTTAACATCCTAAACTGGAAACAATGTATCTGATAATATATCTGCGCCAGCCTAATAGATGAAGAAGGGGTGCAAGGCTGGTCAACAGAATTATTCTGATTACCCCTAAAGTCTTTGCTCATAAGCTTTTCTACAAGACAGTAGCTGGATTCAGTTAACATCTACCCAAGATGAATTTTTATTGAGACACCATCTCTAGCTTTTATTCAACCATGAACCCCAAGACAGGGAAATTGAGCTGGATGCAGTAAACATATGCCCATGATGAGTATTTTTATCGAGAATGTTATACTTTGTTATTTATTATATCATCAAAATAAACTCAGTTCAATTTATAATTAAAGTGTGAAAACATAACTCTTGGTTTTATATTTACTCATTTTTAATTTTATAATTACTTAACAGTAACTTGACTATGTTGTATGTTTAAAAAAATTATTATTTAAGTTTGATTTGAATTTTGATTTAGAAAAAGTTTGATTTGAAGTTTATACAATAAATAGTATAAAAGCAACATATAATTAAAAGTTTTTTGTTTGGAAAAAATCACCACGATTTCTTTACAACCTTCTGTTTCACTATATCCAATCTAGGATTGAAATAAAATATAAAACATTAATATATATATATATATATATATATATATATATATATATATATATATATATATATATATATATATATATATATATATATATATATATATATATATATATATATATATATATATAATCACTAAATCCAATCAAGGATTGAAAATAAAATATAAAACATTAAGATATATATATATATATATATATATATATATATATATATATATATATATATATATATATATATATATATATATATATATATATATATGTTAAATGTTTATGTTAAAAGTAACTTTAAAGTTAAATGTTAAAAGTAACTCTAACTTATGGTTTGAATACTTTTTGTGTCTTTAATTTCCACAATGCATAGGTCTAAAGTATTCCAATTAGGACAAAAAAAAAGTAGGACAAGGATGATAAAAAGATTGAGGGGAAGATAAAAAAAATTCTTAATTATCTCTTCATTTGAAAGTTTTTTTCAGAAGTTTTTGAAACCAAAAAAAAAATTAAAAAAAAGATATAGTACTAATTACTTTTTCTGAATTTCTTGATATTCAGAAAAAAAAATTTAATTTATTTTGTTAAAATTTATTTTGTTGTATAGTTTTTTTAAAATCTTTGAAAAAACAGACATTTTGTAGTTTCAATTTTTTATTTTGTTCTTTCTATTTTACGTGTACTTAATATCAATGTCGATTTAGTTTTGCTGATACCAAGAATACCTTTAATTGAAATCAATTTAGTTGTTAGTAGATTTTTTTTATTTCTTTTAAATATAAAGTTAAACATTCAGTTCCATAATATAAAACTGGTCGTCAGTTTATCTTATATTTGTACAACTAACTGAATTTTCCAATATTTCTTGCAGCACATATTACTTTAGTGAAGTTTTTTTTAAGATGAATTATCAAGATAAAAAAATTATTTGTAAGTTTAATTCCTAAATATGTTAAGACTCAACTTCATCAATTTGTCTCTTTTCTTTTCTCGTTTTTTATCTTTTTACTGTTTATTCCAAAATTTCAAAATGAGATTTTAGGCAATTTGCCAAGTTTTTCCATATTTATCCCATATTGCAATCATTTCGTTGATATCCAAAAAAATTATTTGATTGAACTACAATAATATCTGCATACGGTTTTATGCAAATATTTATTTTTCCAAATTGAATTCCTTTTTTTCTTTTTAATATCTTTAATTAAATCTTCGGCATAAATTGAAAATAATAACAGAGATAAAGGTCCACATAATAACAGAGATATTGGTCCACATAATAACAGAGATAAAGATCCACATAATAACAGAGATAAAGGTCCACCTTGCTAGACAACAATTGCCTTTCTAATCTCTTGTTATTATTGTTTTGTATATATGCTTTTAATACAAATACCTTGTAATTTTTTTAAATAAAAAAAACTACAAGGTATTATTCTCTTAAAGTTTTTAGTATCCAATTATTTTATTTAGCAGGTTGTTTCAATTTTTTTATATAATTTTGATGTATTAATTTTGATTTTTATTATATTTTGATATTTTATTTCAATTCAATATTTTATTGCATATCATATAGTATATTATTCTTTATATTAATACATCATATAATATACAATTATTATTAAAATCATATAATTTGCAATCATCAATTCTTTAGTTTGGTTACACTTGTTTACATTTGGCAGCCAAAAATGGTCATGAAGAAACTGTAAGACAACTTCTTAATGTTGAAAAGATTGTGGTTGAACAGCGAACCACAAAAAATGTAAATAGTTTTGAATTTTTTTAACTTAGTTGATTGTTATGAGAAATTTTTTTTTGTTATTTTAATCGTTTCTTTAATAGATGTATAATAGTATAATGTAATATAATAGATGAAAAATTATAGATGTAATAGATGACTTTGACAGACATTTTATAATTGAGCTGTTTTTTTTTTGTTTTTTGTTTTATCTGTTGTAATTTTTATTGAACAAACTTAACCATTGTTTAGTTAAACTTTAACTTAGTTGAATTTTTTTATGTAATTTAAATTTATTGAAAAAAATTTAGTTTAATAATTGTTAAATTAAAATTAACTCCTGGACCTAAAAGATATATTAGAGTAGGAAATAAGCAGTAGAGTAGGAAATAAGCAGTAGAGTAGGAAATAAGCAGTAGAGTAGGAAATAAGCAATAGAGTAGGAAATAAGCAGTAGTATTGCTTCCCATATAAAATATGAAACAGGCCTTTTAAGTACATTTAGCTTATATTTTATTTAGCATATAACTTTTGAATAAACAATCAAAATGATTAGTTGCAATTTTCTTGGAGTTTTGATTAGTTGCAATTTCCTTGTGCTTTTGATTGATTGCTTTGGAATTGATTGGTAGGAATTGTCATTATAGGCACTCAGTTTCATTTTTGTTTGAGTAAGTAAAGATTGTTTGAGTATGGAAAAATAAAATCCATTTAGAATAAGACTAAACATCATTAAGTAACATAATAATATATTTTGTATATGGAGACAGTTAATATGCTATATTCTTTTACAATTCATGTAAAAGCAAATAGCACATTAATTGTAGTATTTTATTTTGCTCAAAATACAGTTGTGTTAAGTTTTTATAAAAATACAGTTGTGTTAAGTTTTTATAAAAATACAGTTGTGTTAAGTTTTTATAAAAATACAGTTGTGTTAAGTTTTTTTTTCTGTACCTTTTTTGGAGATTACAGTTAAAGATGTTCTACACATATCCTTATTTGTTACCTGAGTTACTTCTACATATATCCTTATTTGTTACCTGAGTTACTTCTACACATATCCTTATTTCTTACCTGAGTTACTTCTACACATCTCCTTATTTCTTACCTGAGTTACTTCTACACATATCCTTATTTGTTACCTGAGTTACTTCTACACATATCCTTATTTCTTACTTGAGTTACTTTTACACATATCCTTATTTCTTACCTGAGTTTTCCTTCCCTTTTTTATGGCTAAGTACTAAGTAGCTCTTTTTTTTACTAGTAGTAAAAACTGAAGTAAAGTTTGTTTAAGGGATTTTTTTTAGTCAACTTTTATTATATAAAATTTTTTTGCTATTATTTAGGGTTTAATTCCATTTCATTTGGCAATGTCAGGAGGTCATATTGATGTAGCAAGTCTTCTTTTAAGTCGTTCTGCAGAGCAAATAAATTTCAAATGCTTTTTAGGAAGAACAGCCCTTCATTATGCAGCTTCAAATTATCAACTCAAACTTGTACGACTTCTTATTGCACAAGGAGCTGATATAAATGAACCTGATAATGTAAGTATTTTATGTTTCTTACTGTTTGTAGCTTTAGTAATTTTTTTTCAGATTCTCATTTTTGACATTTTAAAAAGATAATTACAGAACAAAATTCTGTTTCAGCCATTTTGGATTATTAAATTTCTCAACAACAAAGATTCTAATGTAGATTAACAAAAAGAGTTTCTTAAAAAATGTTAAGTAATAAAAAAAATGTAAAACAAAAAGCAATAGAAAAACAATGTTTTGTACAAAATGCTTTCCTGCCTTAGTGTAGCTCTTAGTGATATATTGTTTAGTAGCCTAATAGCTCTACAATATATCATGACACCCTTCCTCTCTCTTCCTAGTAGAAAGGGTGTCATGATATATTGTTTAGATCATACCAGAAAAGTTGTTTTTGTTATGATCTAAACTACACCCAGTAGAAGGCTTCCTTGGAAACAATCTTGTTTAAAAAAACTTTAAAATTTTTTTGACTGTTTTTTTCTCTGTAACCAGATCAAGTTCTTTTATCTAGTCGGTTAATTTATTAACCTTTCTTTTTGTCTCTCTTTAACAATGTTTTTGCAACTTGTCTTATCAATTACAGTAGCTTCATCTTCCACTAAATCTGATATTCATTAAATTAAAATCACACGTCTATCTATCCTAATTCATTTATATTGCAAATTGTTGTCATATTTGGGCTGGGTTTTTAATTCCATAAGTAAAAAAATTTTCTTTAAGGAAAATTCTCATAAAAAAAACTCTTCTCTTTTCTTAAAACAAAAAATAAAGTTTAATGGTTATTTTTAAAACATTTAATGGTTTAATGGTTATTTTTACGCATTTGATGAAGATTTTTTGTAAAATCTCAACGTTTAGTATGGTGGAGACTTTTATAAAATCTTAATATTTTTACAATAATGAATTAGTTTGCAAATAAAAAGGAAATTAATTTTTTTAATCATAAAATTTAATTATTTTACAAATGCGATCAACATGTTTTTTACAATAGTTTATTTAATTTAAATAAAAGCCACATATATAATATAAAAAAAAAAAATTAAATATTTAAAAGTTTTTTATTAGCATAAGTTGATAAACGAGTAGGTGAATTTGCCATTTTGTTCAAATATGTACTGTGCTACTAAAACACCACTTAACAAGTCTTTAATTTAAGTAGCATCACATAGTAAGTGACCGGGGCCCTGGCCCTGTCTGAAAATAAGACTTTTTGCAAACTCGGCCTCTGAAAAATTATAAGATTTAGCAGGGGTTGATAGCTGGACCTAGAAAAAAATTTATATTACTTTATATATTATAATTTTATGCTTACATTTACTATTTATTAAATACTGGCATACATTTATACATTTTTAAACTCTAATTTACTTCCAACAAGTTTGCAAGCAATCACTATTAAGTTATGAGTTTCTTTAAAATAGAAAACAAATCAAAATACTAGGAAATGTTTAACTGAAGACTTAAAAAGTTGTAAGTTGTATAAAAAAGGAAAACATAAAACTGGGTAAGAGTTATAAGGTTTTTTTGATATTCAAGGAAAAAAAACTGGATTAGTAAAAGTTTTTATAGCATGGAGGTACAGATTCAGTAAAAGGATGCAACTTCTTAAATAAAATACCAAAAAGAAGTATAATAAAAAACCAAAAAGAATGAGTTTTGCTTTATCGACTGCTTGTTCTAAGGAATTAAAATCTGCAGTTAGTAAGAAATAGGTTCATAACCTCAAAACTTTTACATAAAGAAACTAATAACAAAGTGAAGATTAATCGTAGGATAGTTGGAGAGGTCAATATGTTTTCTAGAATTTTGAAAAATTGAAACCACTTATTTAGCACTTTTTAAAAGTTTAGCAAAACTTGAAGAGAGTTCTTCAGAACACTTTTTAAAGTATATGATGGAAATCTATTCTGAAGCACAAACTGTAGAAGTGTTTAATTGAGAATTACTTTTAGTATTGGAAGCCAGAGTAATTTCAATGTTTAACAATGAATTTATCTGTTTAACTGTCA